GACTGTGATGGGTCCTGTGGCCATGGGAAGACTCTCTATTCCTTTTTTCAGTTGTGGAGGGGTAGATCACCAAACAGGAGAGGCTGCGGCAGTGCTACATACACTCTTCCTGTTCTCCTCACCATACCTAAAGTTTGTGTGCATGGCAGAGATAGAAGATATTGCTCCTTTCTTGTTCCTTCACTCCTTTCTCTCCATCCCAGACTTACTGAAGTGTGGGGAATACTCATAAAAATGCAAAACTACTCAAAACTCAAGAGCATCTTTATCACTGTTTGCCTGTTAGGACCCTCGTCTCCTCTTACTATGAATCCATGTCTACTGCCAATAAAGGAAACACAGGTAAATGAAACACTGAGGTGTAACTGTGAGTACTTAAGGCACTATTCCAGAATACTGGACAGAACAGTGAGTTCATTACTTTTACTCAAGACTAAAGACAGACTGTTGTATCTTTCACAGCAGATTTCCATTAGAGCGGAGGTACTTGCTTTGTTGGAAATGAACCACCATCCAGTATCTGAGATGGATTAGGCTGGACAGCATCCAATTCAGTGCCAGATCTCTTTGCCATTTTGCTGGTTAACAGAGCACACTCTGTGCTGAGCCCATAAAATCAAACCAACTTATGTACTATAATTGAGGAAAAATGGAGAAGTCTAAAAAGAGAGAGAGAGAGAGCAACGGTGAAGGGTAACACTTCAATAGCATGAACGTATTAGTGGACATCTGTTTCATTTTTATGTGACCATTTTCATATTTTTCACTACTTGAATCATCCAAATATAATCACACATCTCCATCCTACTTTTATCACCTGAAATAATAATTAAAAATGAACAATTGTAGGTTATGTGTGAGCATGAAAAGTATGTAAGCCAGATCTTCAGCTAGTGTAAATCCGTGTAGCTCCACTGTCTTCACATACTTGTAGTTTATTAATGTTCACTGGGACCAAATTCTGGTTCCGTTGGAAACAAATATGAATTCTGCCACTGATTTCAAGAGATCTATGACAATTTACATCAGCTGGAATTTTGCCCTATCACTATATCTAAAATTTGGCGCACACAAAATCCTGAGGCTAGTTTCTCTACTAGAAGAATTTGGAATGTATATTTCAGTGGAGACAAAAAGAGAAAGCAAATTGCAATAGTGGTTGTGGATATAGAAACTGCACCTTCTCTCCAAAACTTCCCAACAGCCAATGAAAAAGAGCTAATTTTTAGTGAATATATTTTAGTTAATTTTCATAATTAAAAACACTCTTCATGTTGAATATATATAGTGTGTAGGGATAACAAACTGAACATTAAAAATAATTTATATTATTGCTTAGATGCCCCAGTTGATTACTGGAGCATCATTTTTCTAGGCACCGTACAAACACAGAGAAAATGATAGTTCCTGTCCCAAAGACGCAAACTAAATAGAAAAGATGGATAAAAGAAGAATTATCTCCATTTACAGAAGAGAGAGAAGATGGAGAGTGTTGGGAATATAAATATTAAATAATAATAGTAGTGAATCATGACACCGATTTTTGAAGTGCCTCCAGAAATGTGCTCTTGAGTTCTTGTTGGCAGACCTGTCTGTGTATTCAAAAGCTCACATTTGTCTGCAGAAAACAGGTTTGATATTTTTAATGACAAATCTATGGCCTGCAAAGCAATGGGCTTATCATATAAATGGAATTAATGCAAATATCTGGGACAACTTTAACATTGATTTCAATAGGATCTGAATTTGGCTCCAATATATATTAATAAAGCAAAATACATGGGGACACAATACAATTCACAACCTTTGTGGCAGGAGGATCTATATAACCAACACCTGACAAGGTAATACATTTGTCTTTTCTTTCAGAGAGAAAATGCAGCTACTATAACCTGCAATTTGTGAGGCAGTACCACCTACACGTGCTTTACAGGTATAAATTCCCATTTCATCAGTTGTGGTTTACTATTTTGCCATCATTCAGGGGAGGGGTGCGTTAATTGTCTAAAAGCGCTGTAATATAGGAAGGTCATTTATCTTAAAAACTTCCTGGAGATCATTTGTAGTACAACCCATCTGTTCTCATCACTGCCTGACAAGACAGAGCTAAACAAAGGAGGAAGAGAAAAAGAATACATATCTCTACGTAAATAAACTGTATCTATTTTGATTCAACTAGACCCATTGATTGCACCCTAAGACTGATCACTTAGGCCCACAACCTCAAAGGTAGTTAGGCATTTAACCCCCATTGAAGTCAAATGGCAATTAAATACCTAAAGACCTTTGCAGATTTCTGATGCCTTCTTACTGGTAGATTTCTGCTTGTCAGAACTCCCAGTGTTTTCTACTCCTGTTTCATGCTAAAACTATATGGTAATGTTCCATCCTGCTTTTCAGTTGGTTTAAGGATCAGAAGAACTTGCAGTTTGTAAACACTTTGCATTTATTTTAAACTTCAAAGTAAAAAATCTTCTTCTGATGTTAAAACCTGCAAAAATACCACACAAAATACAGTCCCAAGCAAGATAAAATCTTGTTTATGATCTCTAGCTTCTGCTGGTGCCATAAACAATGTTAAATTCACAATAATATGGCAACCAGCAGGAGATTCAGAAATGCCACTTTTAATTAAAACCTTTATTTTCAGGTACTGTTGACAGTTGGTAAATGCTTCTCACTAGGTGATCTCCTACTATATTTCTCTGAACAAAGTGAGGGAAGCTTTTCAAGGAAACAAAACCAAAACTTGTTGCTGGAAGTCTCTGTATGTTAGCAATTTTCCAAAGATGAATTACCCAGGGGACCATATGCCTTGAAAATTGCACACAGCAAGATCCTTCTGTGGCCTACACTATACGCTACATGTTGATGTTTGTTTAATGTATGACAGCGTGCCCAGTTTTCGTAGCAAGGACCTCCCTTTCTGAGGCAACTGTACAGACTCTCACTATGGAGGGTTTATATTTACATTTGGACAATTTGTCTGAGAACAAAGCCATTCTTAGATATATATGTGTTTATTTCCTGTAATGATCATAGGCAACCCAACCAGTCTTCTTAGGAAATGAAAAAAAGTGTAGTTTATTATCTCAAGGACTCCTGCTCACTGTAATAAGGATTGCAGTACAGTAGAAGATGGGATAATAATTTGATGAAAATTAGACTTTTAAACTGATTACTTCAAAAAGACAAAATCCTGATCTTTTATAAGGTTTATACTGTATAACTCTGACTTTGACAAGGAACATGATTTCAATGCCTGTAGATCTTTAGAGTTAGCTAATCCTGAATAACCTATCGTTAAATTTGCTTCAGTGCACAGAAAGCATAAGATCGATTCCTAGTAGTGAGAGATGTCATTAAATCAATAGCACATGTAGCTCATTGTTCTGATGTCTGACAAGAACTGCGAGTGGTCAGTTAACAAGATCTACTGACATGGAGACCTATCACACCAGGAATTTGTCCACTACAGAAGCATTCGGGGGTGGGGGAGAGGAAGGGGCGGCAGAGGAGAGAAAGATAACTAATTTGAGAGAAGCAAAAAGACTTATGACTGCATTGTTTGATATATCCTCTGGCTAGGCCCTGGCAGTAGATCATGTGTTTTATAAGGGATCCTCCATTATTCCTTTTTGGTTAATGGTAAAGAACTTGTCAGCCAGTTACCTGTATATGTATTTATATATAACAAAAGACAGATGGTAAATAAATGCTCTAGCTTTCTACTATAGGCTAAGGGAAGGGCAGGTTTAATGATTTAAGGGGCTTTTTCATGAATTCAGAAAGAAGATCTGTAAGAGCAGTTAGCACCCTATAACCACAAAGATAATAAGTACAGGGGTCTGAGTAAGTGAATTGAGTCAGGACTCCAGGTTTCTATTCCCAAGCTACCATTGACCCACTGTGTGGCTGTGCCGCAGTTACTCCTTCATGTCTCAGTTCTCCATTTGTAAAATGGAAATAACGACACTTCACAACTTTTATAGCAGGGATGGGAAACCTCATGCCCAGAGGCTGGATGTGGCCCCCTGCTTACATTTGCTTATCGGATAGTCAACTAGTTGATTAGTCTTTAACATCCCTAGTTATAACAAAGCACGGGACAGAAAATAAGGTTGGTCTTGTGAAGTAAAAGGGAATGAAGGATTTGAGTCAAGCAGCTCTGATGTGGTCTGAATGAAAGGAACAATCCTTAAGAAGTTACAGAAAGCTGTCATGATCCCTTGCAGCATATATTTATTGCCTCACCTATGTTCCCAAGATATTCATGGAAATATCTATCAAGCAGACACTCCTCAGGGTGAGCACTGCCTACCTGGTTTTGACCCTTTGATGGATCCTTCAGAAGTTAACAGAAGTTTTACCATTGACTTCAATGGAGGCAATTAAGATAAAATCCATAATATGATCTTGACTCAATATTGTGACAAGACTCTGAACTATTCCTATGGATTAAGTTTGTCTGCCTACCTTCAGATGTCATCAGGAGGGCACTAGACTTAACAGAGAAGATCCATACAATCCCTAGCTTACTTGTGATGTGAAACAATGAATGTCTTTTGGTCAGGAGATATCTGAACCTTCGAGTACGTGAGAGACAAGGTAAGTGAAATAATACCTTTTATTGGACTAGCTTCTGCTGGTGAAAGAGACAGAGGCTATGTCTACACTGCAGAGCTTTTCTGGGATACCAGAGTTTTCCCAGAAAAGCTCTGCCGCGTCCAAGGAATGCATCTGCTTTTCTGAAAAAAAATTTGGAAAAGCAGACGTGGTTTTTTGGCATCCCTATGAACCTCGTTCTACAAGGAAGAAGGGATTTTCTGAAAGAGGGTTTTTTTTCCAACATTTGGCCCCATGTAGATGGGCCAAATGTTGGAAAAGCCTCTTTCAGAAGAAAAGTGGAGAAAGATATGCAAATTGTGATTCACAATTTGCATATCTTTTTCCGACTTTTCTTTGTAGTGTAGACATAGCCAAAGTGTTGGCACTTACCCAGCTCAGTGCACAGTTTCCTCCTTTAATTCTCTCCGTATTCTGCAGTCAGTCAATGAACTTAATACAATGCTAAAAATCAGGCAAGGTTTTAACTATTTTTTAAAAAGTTAAGATGATTGAAATGGGAATTCTAAATTAACAAACAGACACATCAAAGACAATTTTCCATTTTCACTTTTACCATATTTCCCCCTTCTCTATTTTTCTGCTGAAGTTTTCATTTTAGATGTTGGCATTGGGTGGTGAATCACACTGATAGACCCTTGACAGATAGTAATGATTTTGTTTTTCTAGGAGCTCCTATTTAATGTTTTAAAATTTTTGATTTTTCTCTGATCCCATTTTACACTCAGAGCTCTGTTCTTTTCTTGTTGCATGGCAAACTTTCATGTGTTTTATGGGTATACCTTGAACTTTTCACCCAGTATGGGATTCTATATTACATCTCCAACAGTAGATGCCACTAAATACAAATATATTACAATTAGGTAAACATCACTGACCATCATTTATGGACTATTCAACAAAGACATTTTTTGAATAATTAACCCAGCTTTTATCCTCCTTAGTTTATCACAGGAACCAGTTTTAAGAGAGAAGATAGTAGCCTTGTTGCCATCTTGTAGTGGGCAGGTGTTTTTAATATGTAGTTAATGAACAAGACTTTATGCACAGACCAATATATTAGTAAACATGTCATTACAGAGGTGTTCATATACAAGTTAATTTGCTGTGAAGATTTTCTTCCATTAGGAGCCCGGCTGGTTCAACAGGTTGTATAGGATCATCATTATCTGATTAAATTGTTGCATATACTCCAGTTCATTTGAATGAAATTCTGTTAAAATACACACAGTTTACAAATAATAGAATCTCAGAGTTACGAACTTCAGAGTTACAAATTGACCAGTCCACAACATACCTCATTTGGAACTGGAAGTACATAATCAGGCAGCAGTAGCAGCAGCAGAGAGAAAGGGAAAAATCAAATATGATACAGTGCTGTGTTAAATGTAAACTACTAACAAAATAAAGGTTATTTTCTTCTGCATAGCAAAGTTTCAAAACTATATTAAGTCAATGTACAGTTGTAAACTTTTAAATGAACAACCACAACATTTTGTTCAGAGTTATGAACATTTCAAAGTTACCACCTCCATTTCTGAAATCCTCATTCCGTGGCTCTACTATTCTGATGAAAAATAGATTTGATTAAAGTATTTTCCCTGCTTCTCATAATACAATCTGAAATATCTATTTGTCTTCTAAAATGTTACCAGACAGGACCAGTGTGAAATCAATTCCTTGTAGTCAATTATTTCTTTACTCTGATTTGTACACAATATTTAAACTTAAAGCTCAGTGTGTCACGAAGAACTGCATGGGCAAGACCAAGGCTCAAGAGCTCAATCCAACTTTCACTGCACTCAAAGGTAAAACGTCCACTGACTTCAGTGGGTGTTGGATAAGGCCCCTGACTCTTTACACATTTATGTACCTTTTTATATGGTGGTGGCTTGCACAGTTTCCTTTTTAATGTTCTTGATTTTGGTTCTCTCTGGAAAAAACCCTCAAGAGCTTGAAAGCAGGTAGGAGAGTCTGGCCCAAGAATGGAGGCATGGTCACTTCATGGACCATAATCACATACTGGCCTGGAAAAGTTAAGGGAAAGTTAGGAATTAAACATTTTACATGAAATAAAAAGCACAGAGAATTATGATACAAGTGCCCTTGTATCTAAATTCTTGCATCATCACGTTAATTCTCATATATGAAAAATAGAGGATAATGTTCACGAGAAAAAGAAAGCAAAACTTACTTTTTTATTGCTCTCTATTCTTGTTAAAGAGTATATCTAAAGAAAGATTTCATAACTTACTGGCAAGTATGACTATCTATGCTGACATTTCAAAGTACTATAGATTAGCATATACAATGACTTCCCAAAGTAATACATAGTTAAAACATGAAAAAACTACCACCACAACGGTAATTTAGATGATGCTTCATGATAATATACAATTTATAATCCAATTATGATATACAGTAATACTTTATATTTTTATAAGCTCTCGGAGAATGTAACAGACTATGACACTGGCTCTGCAAGCACTTGTGCAAATGCTGTTTTTATGCACATTTTTAATAGTACCATTGGTGTCCATGGGAATTCTCACATTGCACACATATACAGCTGAAATAGGACCTAAAAAATGCACCTCACCCCACAGAAAATCAGCCACCTCTGGGTAAGTGTACCAGAAACAAGGAGAACCTACCCACAGCACAAGGTGAATTGGGAGAAGAAAATGGGAAATTCTGACCCAGGACTCAGGGGCAGACCCTGCCTCTTATGAAAAGGTCCTTAGGATCTCTAATGTCCATGCAGAGTGAACAAGACGTATGGGTAAAAGTTTCCTTAAAGAAACTAACAAAGTATCTGCATGGAAGTCAATTTATCCACTTCTGAAAAATGGAGTTGACCCTGTAATCAACAAGTATGATGTCTTTTGTGAACTATGAAAATCAGTATCTGGAAAACCATGAAAATCATACTACCAAAATCACGTGAGTACTGCTTTCTACAGACTGTGGGACTAGAATGGACACACATTTTGGACTCAAAAGTTTCTTAGCTACTATAAATGTTGATTGGCAGCTGGGAAGGAAAGGACTCTCTATATACAGATTAATTGAGGTATGACCTTACAGTCCTTTCACGTGCAAATCTCTAGCTGACTTTAACAGAGATCCATGCATAGAGAAAGCAATACAGAAATTTCTAAGCCAGTTATACCAGCAACTTCTGTGACATAGACACTTGTCTTCTGGTAACTGGATTATGGCCACCAAACCAATTTCACACAGGCCACTACCTACTTGGACAGAATTCCAAGTGAGGATTTATAGGGGACAGGCTCTATACACCATTAGTAACCTTCTGGGCTATGAACATGTGGTAAGTGAAGGTATTAAAATCACTGTATTTGCACAAGCAAACACACTCAGGATATCTAAGTGGAATCTAAGTGATATCTCATGGAATGAGGTGTAACAGTTTACTCGCACTAAGGACTTCGTTTGAGTTAACATCTGACTGCCACGTGTAGCCGCAGGCAGTAAGTTCGGACTAAGGGGATTTAAAAATGGCGCCCGGACAGGAAGATGCAAATAAAGCCCGGGATATTTAAATCCCAGGCTTCATTTGCAACTTCGAATGCCTATATTAGTCTCCCTAGTTCGAATTAGGGGGCTAGTGTAGACATACCCTAACTTACATCCAAAAGAGTGTCATATTCTGACTGATACCAGCAGCCCTCTTTTCCTTTCCATGGTGTGGATCTTCACTTCTCTCTTTTTCTTTATGCAAAAGAGGCACTAGATAGCAGGATCCAAGTAAAGTGTATTGTCCTGTGTCTTGTTTAAAATACCGGTTAGCTGGTCTTTCTGCTCTGTTATATTCATATGCCTAACTAGAGGTTTGCTTTTAAACATATCTGTGCTACTTATTGTGCTACTTATCATGCTGGGAACTAAAATTAACAAAGATAGCAGTTGTTGCTAGCAGTGACCATGTATTCCAGTGAGGTAGACAGCAATGTGGTTTGCCTGTCTAGCTTTTTCACAGTAAGTGCAATATTTTGGAACTGTAAATAATAAAAAAAAAAAGATTGTCTTATATTAAATAATTTCTCTAAAAATTAAGAAGGGGTTCCATGACTTCTTGGATCCTTAAGAAGTCTAATTAATTATTTCTGGATGTTGTAATCTGATAAGGCACAGAATCATTTCTTTACCCAGCTACCATGAGGTTTGCCTATAACTGGAGTATCTGGGAGTGTTGGCATTGCTGTCCTTCTCATTTTCTTTACTTCAAGTCCAAAATGTAGTCTTACAACACTAGAGGGCCTAGGATGAACTGTTAATAGCTCACTCTCTCTACCTCATCCTGCTGCCTCTACAACTACCAGATTCTCAGACACAGAAGTCTGAAGAGGCTGTACAAACCACTAAGGACTATATTATCCAGGATTAGTGAATATAATTTAAAGTGAATTATAGGAGGCTTGCCTTTGCTGATACTTTTCTGTACAAAAAATCCACATTTAGAATAGAATCATGGAAGTGCACAAGAAGCATACTAATGACAGGAGAAAGGAAGAAGAAATATGTTTCGCAGAGTTCATAAGTCATAACATAGTAATATTGAAGACTTGCAGTTATAAATGAAATACTCTGTTGATGTTTGAAAATATTATTCTGTACTAACATATGGGCGGACATTGGTGAGGTCTAGAGCTCACTAAAAGTGAAGACTTGGCACACATTTTGCAGAGATTTTGACATCAATCTTCACCTTTCACCCTACCTATGGCAGCTCCCTTCACCTTGGCTTTACCTCAGAGATTGCAGCATTTTCAAAACATTGCTGTCCGCTTTCTCAAAATGTACAAATAAATCTGATCCCCATCACTCCTCACCCTCGGACAACACTCCTGGTACTCCATTCATTTTAGGGTTCAGTTCAATAGTAACTTTCTTTTCAGCATTCTCCATAGATTGTGTTTCAGTCTGCCTTAAAATCCCCACTTCTTCTCACTCCCCATTCCAGCAGCTCATCTAGCACAACCCTCCTCTTTGACCTTAAGACAACCACTCTTCTTTTACTGAGACAGTCTAATTCTGGCACTATTGCCATTTAGAACAAGCTTCCCATATAATGATGTCTTATTGACACAATGGGCCTGATTTTCATTTACACAGTAGAATGCAAAGGGACCCTAAAGTGGGTTGAAATGCAGTGCCCAGCAGTTTTAAGTGGCTTCAGTGTAAATGAGAATCAGGTTCAATCTGTTTTCAAATCTTAACTGAAAACTTCTCACTTATTCCTTGCCTATATCTGCAATTTTCTTTCCCCTTCTGTTAGTTATTTAACTTTGTATTATTTAACTTTTTTTACACCTTTTGGGAGAGACTTTGCTTGAAAAACACCATACAAAATGAAGTGCTGTGCTGTATAATTGGGATTAATAACCGTAATAAAATTGGTGTATGCTTTTACAGCAGTCACCAAGGTGCTGTGTAAACAGAGGGTAACTGCATCTGCCATTTAAGCAGTTACATTTTGGCTTAGATAAGAAACACCACAAATAAAAGACTTTCAGGAAAGAAAGTTATTTGCCCCTTTTATTGCCTGCAAAATGCCTGGAGAGTTTCAAAGCAACAAGAACTATTATAAAAGTGAGTGGGAAATGAAATAAAAACGTTTTGTTGCCTTAGAAACAGTCCTATTCTTCTTACTTTTTCTTTGTGACATATTAGCCTTCTGTATGTTTTGGCACCAGAAAACATATTAAAACAAGGCAGGGGGGAAGGGAAGTGTTAGTTCTTTTTGCAGAGACTGGGAATTTCTCTGCATATTGAAACTTATACCTGAAGGAATGAGTTACACTGTAAAAAAAAAAAAAAGAGCAAGAAAACAAAACGAAGATTCTTAAATATTCAAAGTAATTCTGCGTAGAGCAATTAATCCTGAAAATTTCCTACCATTGGAGAATGTAAAGACTCCAGAGCAGTTTTCTGGCTGCAGATGGAAGGGGTTCTCATTGATATCAATGGAAGTGCTATGCTTGGTGCATATCAAAAGCCAAAATATGGCTCCAAATGTATTCTTGCAAAACAGAACAAAGCCCACTGGGACCGCGGACAATGAATTTTTCTCTGCCCAGACAAATATTTCTTTAGGATATGAGAACTGTAAAATAAGTTTAAAATGGTTTCTGGACCAGTAAGTAGACAAAACTTTATCTGTATTACAAATTCATACAGAGATTGTATACACAAAGTAGTGGAATATTGCAATGTCTTTAAACTGGTGAGAAAATGGCACTGGCTGCCCTAGAAATGGAGCCGGCTCCCTCATGGGGAAGTCTGGATAAGGGCCACGGGGAAAGTAGGGAGGAAGGTTGGGTCCTGTGGTGGCTTAGGGGATAGGGTGTTTGCCTGGGGAACACAGGGTGGTAAAGTAGCACTTTAAAGACTAAATGATTACAAGAGGCTGAAGAGAACCATTAGTTTTCTCTTGGAAAGGAAGATGACCAACACCTGTTACAGACTCACTCAGCTATCCCTCTTAAGCTTATCTACTCACTGTCTCTTTTTTTTCTTCCTCCCCTCCATTTTTTTTCCTTCTTCCCCTTTCCCCCCATCCCTCCTTCCCTTATTTTGGATCTGGAATTCCAACACTCCTGTCATCTGAAGAAGTGGGCTGTGCCCACAAAAGCTCATGATACCATCTACATATTTTGTTAGTCTTTAAGATGCTACTAAACTATTTGTTGTTTTTTAAGTTTTTCCTGTTACAGACTAACTTGGCTACCTCTCTGAAGCTGATATAAAGTCACTTCTGGTGTGAAGTACAGAACCACACAATAATTTGGGGTTGGAAATGAAGAACACTCCATGAAATTCAAATTACAGGGGGAATTTAGGTAGGCAGGATGTTATTACCGACGCTGGAATGTGGCCAGGACACCTGGGTTAACACCCTATTCTCAGAAGTGCTGTGAGACTCTTAATAATCTATTCTAAAGATAAGAAACATTTTAAAAATCAAATTGACCAGTTCAGCACCTAAGCTATGGTTTTAATT